GGGAGCATCAGGACAGAACACGATGGGTATAAGAATGTGTTGGATTTCATTATTACACTCGTTGTGGTCAACTTATTATACTGTACTCTCTTACAAGTTCTTTACTTAACAAGATTAGTACTTTGTTATTCTATCTTACTATAGAATTGATTGTCTTTACTATCGGTTAAACATCCATAACTCTTTTCCACCTGAATTACTCGGCAATCACACGGCTTACCACGAACCCGCTGACTCGCCCTAACCCGGATCGAGTCCTAGCTAAGTATAGTCGAACCCCGTGTAACACTATCTACCTATCTCTAGAGATTGTACCAGCCAACCAGCCATCCATCTACCATCTCCACAACACCTAACCACAGTTTTTCATGTACAAGCCATTCATCCATCCATCCATCGATCAATTAAGCATATCCTGGTGTACCCGGAAAAGCAAATATACACAGTACACAGATATTCCCCCCACCCCCCCTCGCCTCGTTCAAACCTAGTTAACCTACCTGACTACAATCATGATTGCGCTGACAATGTACATACATACATACTCGTACAACGGATAATAGACCATGGAAAAAGGGAGCAAGTAAGGGAGTAAGTGGGGGAAAGCGGAAGGCGTTCAAACATCAATCTACCCATCCATCCGCTGATTCCAACCACCTATCTACCCGGCCACGCACACGCATATCCGCATATCCACAAGGCCGTCGTCACGTAATATTTCTTCTTTCTTCTTTCTTCTTTCTTCCCTTTCACATCCCACATCGCACATCGCACATCCCACACTTTACACTTTGTCATCTATCTATCTATCTATCTACAGTCGATAGATCCACCCACAGCACGCACCATATCTCTCTTTTCCCATTTTCCCCATTCTTCCTTCTTTCCTCTCCATTCCTTTGTTTTCCGAGGACCTAATCTTTCCGAGGGCATATATTCTTTATTTTTACTTTTTTTTACCCACCGAACACGGCGCATATACACGAAACGTAGGTGCACACACACACACACACATACACACACACCTAACGCACACTTACATACACATACATACACATACACGCACGTATACATGGCACGTATACATGCAAATGCAAGCCGCAAATCTCATCACCATCATCACCATGACCAACAATCATAAATCATCACGATCAAGTTTCGCACAGAACAAGGGTGTCAGCCCTAGAAAAAAAAGAAAGAAAGAAAGAAAGAAAGAAAGAAAGTAAGAAAGAAAGTAAGAAAGAAAGAAAAAAAAGAAGAAAAAAGAATCAAGTCTCAAAAAGCCGAAGAAATTTGCCGATGAAAGTGAGAGTTAGACCTAAAAAAAAACAAAAAAACTACAACAACAACTACTACTACTACTACTACTACTACTACTACAAACAAATCTAAATTCAAATTCAAATTCAACTACTTACTTACGTAAGAAAAAATTAAAGTAATAAGCGCCAAAGCGACAAAGGAACAAAGAGCAAAATCCAACACGGGATATATATATATATATATATATATATGCCGGTGTCGGTTTATTTTTTTATTTTTTTATTTTTGGGTAGGAGGGGGAAGGGGGGAGGGGGGTAGGTTTCTTACTATTCTACCAAGTATACAATCACTATACAGCGCGAGAATCGTAG